ATACAAGAATAATTACAAAGTTTGCCTTACATTGGCATTTTCAAAATATTTTCAAACACACACAAAAAGCAAATTTTCAACGTGAGTTAAGCGATTAAGAGCCCGTAGATAACTACGGATGAAAAGGGTGCTAACACCTTCCATTTTCATAACCTACCCACTGAACTCAAAATCTTTAAAGGTCTTTCCTGTTCTTTTCACCCTTTCCTTATTGGATAAAAGAAAAGTCGGTGGCGACTCTTGCTATCCGCAATATTTACGATAGAACGCTAAAAAAGTCAGTTCTCCCACCGTATTACAGTCTCTTATTGCCATTGGGATTTGATTATAACTTGAATATGAGTCTATAAATGATAAGAGTTTATAGTTAGATGAGTTGTCAACCAGCATTTCAATATTAGGTAGAGTATATGCATCTTTGGGACATGTCCAGTTGAGATCAGTATAATCAACACACATACGCCATTTTCCATTATATTTTAATTACAACATTGGAGAGCCAGATTGAATATCAGGCCTCAAATAAAATTTGCCTCTAGGAGGTCTTTTACAGCTTTTTCAGCAGCCTCCGCTTTCTCGCGAGACTGCTTACACCTATGTTGAACTACTGCCCTAGCGGAGGATCTACAACGAGCTAATGGCAGGAGACCTCAGGGTTGAGTCCAGGCATTTCTATAGTGGCCCACGCGAACAAATCATGATTCTCTCTCAGACAGGCCTTGAGCTGCTTCCTCGCCAGATCGGGGAGTCCAACTCCTATCGTCACGCCTCTGTTCGGGTCCTTGCTGAGGATGATGACTTCGAAGTCTCCATCAGGGACAAGACGAAGGGGATCATGTTCTCCATTAGGGACTTCAACCTCATATTTGGTGAAGCGGGCGTCGAGGTCAATGGAGCCAACATTAGGTAGATCCTCCCGTTCTTCCGTCTGAGCGGGCTTATCTGTGGAGGAGGTTAGTCCACTATCGATTTTTGGCTTTGTGTCGACCATGCTCTATCCCTTTGAGGTTGCATTAAAACATTTTCTCACGGCTTCGATGTCTCTGTGGATGGTGGCGACGCGACCCCTCTTCGTGTAGAACTTCATTTTTAAATAGACCATAGAGGGCACAGCGGTCAGCTTGGCCAGTGTTGGTCTCCTCAGGATGCAGCTGTAGTGAGACAGGCAGTTGGTCACTAAGAAATGGACCTTGACCTTTCTGGAGGCAGCTTTCATCCCGAATGTGACAAACAGCTCAACGTAGCCCCATGGTTTAGAGGTTGAGCCATTAAAGCCTTGTAGGTCGGATCCCACATATGGTGACAAGTAGGTCTTGTTGAGCTAGAGAGTCTGGAACAGCTGGGTATACATGACGTCGGCGGAACTCCCCTTGTCGACCATGATGCGGTACATGTCGAAGTTGGCCATTTTTGCTCTCACGGGCAAAGGGATGCTGGATCAGAAGCTCCACCATGTAGTTCCTCGAGGTAGAATATGATGGGCTCAGACTTTTCATGGAACCGGTCAATGGTCACTGTCAAGACTAGGGCTGCATCTATTAGCTCACTGAATTTTCTTTTTGTTGTACCCACAGAGAAGGTGTTGAATCCTCCACTGAATATGACCATGGCAGAGGAGAATTTTTCCCATCTATTATGGGTAAACAAGGGTGCATCATCATCGATGTTGTTGGAGATGTAGAAATCCTCAGGTCGTGAAACGCCCAAAGCAAATTGGAGGGGGCTAGCCTAGTCGAAGGGTCATGTCTCCTCCTCGACCTCTTTCACCTTGCGATTATCACGACAAGGGGCGTGGTTCCTTCCATACTGCTTGAGCCGTCCTACCTTGACGAGGGTCTCGATGGTGTGCTTCAGGTGGAAGTAGTGCTCAATGACGTGGCCATGACACTGGTGGTAATGGAAATACTTGGTCCTATCGACCCGGGGTTAGGAGGCGTGGGTTTGGGTCGTCAGACCCCATTTTCCTTGAATTCAGCATTGGCACATTCCGTAAGGATACGCTCGCGGGGAGCGGTCAGTAAGATGTACTCGATGAAGTGTCCAACTGGACCTCTATGCTCGCGAGAGTCACAGGATCTTTCATATTTTTTCTTATCCTTGTCTCGTCGAGATGGCTGATCGTCCTCGTAATTCAAGGCCCCGGTCCCTTCATGGTTCCTTATGTTACAAGCACTGTTGGCGGTTTCTTTCTCCTCATAGGCTATGTATGCTTAGGCCTTGTTGAGGAGATCGCCAAACATATTGGGAGTTTTAATGCCTACGACCTTTCTGAAGTCACCTTGACACAACCCCTTCTCGAGCAGATACCTCTTCATGCGGTAGTCGTGGGGACCTGGATGGCCTCGCGATTGAACCGCTCAATGAATGCCTGGAGGGATTCGTCATTACCTTGAATGATTGCCTCTATGGATGCTTTAATTTTGAGGTGTCGTCGGGAGGCACTGAAGTTCTTGATGAAGTCAGTCTTCATACCTTTCCACGAGGTGATGGATACTAGGGTGAGGCCTTTGTACCATGTTATGGAACTTTTCCTCGGAGTCATAGGGAATAACCTACACTTGATGGCACCTCTAATATTGTGGTAGTGGAGCATTGCCTCAAACACCTCGAGGTGATCACCAGGGTCTGTGGCTCCATTATAGTTTTCCAACGGCGAATGTTTTTCCATCCCCTTTGGAATAGGGACTTCCATGATCGCTCTGGTTATTGGACCACTGGGGGCGTCTTCCTCGCTTCATTCTGGAGAGTGAGACTGGGAGGAATTGAGACGAGGGCCTCTATGGCGCGGGGAGGTTCTTGCTCGGCTCCTAGTTTTCTTTGGATGATCTTTGCCCTTGTTTCTCTTAGGGGCAGGGGATCGCCTCTCTTTGTGCGGTAGTGTGTGGTTTCTCTTTTTAACAGGCTCCGATTAGGGTCTCTCAAGTCAAGGACCGTTCCCGGTACGACGAAGAGATGAGCTTCAAGATTCTTCCTATTGATGCCTCCGCGGGGGAGATCACGAATGGGTTTCTCGGTGTCGCAGGGACGGGCTCCCAGAGTCGTGTCTTTAGTGTCTTCTCGGGGAGAGTGATTGGAGACCCTTCTCCAACATCCCAATGCATTCTTTCTGCTGGGAAATCAGGAGGTTTATCTGGTTGATGGCTGCACAGAGGGCCACAATGGTGGGATCAACATTGGGAGGCACTGGAATCTCTTGATATTCCCCAGGTTGGTCGACCTGCTAGTGCATGTCGAGGGGATGTTCCTGGGATGAGGAAGAGGTAGTTCATCCATCTTAGGGGTCACCCCGATCGTGACATGTTATTATTGTGGACTCCGTCGTCGGCGAAGGAGATTTCGTTAAAGTTGTCTTCGTTGGCATGCTGACGGGTCATGAAAATCAGAAAGTTGAACATTTTGCTTTGATCTTAATGTTAGAGAAAGAAGGGGAAGCAAGGGTTCCCATAGACGACGCCATTGATCGTACCTGACCAAAATGATCTTCAGTGGCCCACAACAATTGACTCATACGACTGTTGAAGTGAATGGGGGGGGTACTTGCAAGACACTCTGATACCAAAGAAAGGTTCAAAGCAGAATGCAAACAGAGATTGTGAGAGTGAATGAATGAATACCTGACCCTCTAGTGTAAGAGGGTACTTATAACCCCTAACATTGGGCCAAGGTCCCCATCTTGGACCGACTGGGCAGGCCCAACATGGAGACTTCCAGGACCTACGTGTGTAGTGGAGACTAGGACGTGGTTTCCATCCCGAGTGAACTACCCCGAAATACCAGGGAGGTGCAGACGAGGTCTTTTTGGTGTTAAGAGGACTCTGGGATATCCAAAGAGATGTTGGTTGTGTGTCCTACAAGGCGAACACGTTGTGGCGGGAACCTGGGTATGCTTCCTCGACTGGTATGTGGCGAGGATGTCCTTGAGAGGCACGAGGAGGATATGTCCTTGGTGTGAGCGTGGAGGGGACATTTGTCCCACAATTATGGCTTCGTGAGGGATCCTTCCCAACGGAGAGCCAAGGGAAGGCATAGTCTTGTTGAGCTTCCCACACATCATAGTTGGATTGGGTCTCGTATGACGTTTGGGCCGAGTGCGGGCCCAGCCCAGAACGGAACATTTGGGCTTCCCTACTACTTTTGTAACCTATCCAAGACATTTCCACTTCTCATTAAGAGAAAATGTCATTCCTAGAGGCCGACCACAATTCAAAGAATTCTTTGACTAATAACTGTCCGACAAGCCTTGGAGAGAAACTGTTCTGGACTGGCCAAAGGCCCAAAAAGCCAAGCCCCAAACCAATACAAATCCACTTAAAACGACGTAACATATAAAAGCCATCACACATGATATTCAAGATACACTTTCAGATCTCCATTATTTCACTACACTCATATTGAATTCTGACTGACTTGGACATTGAAGCGCTAATATTGCACATCTAATCCACGCCATCGAATCAGAGATCAAAACCCTCGATTCAAGAATATTCACCATCAATATACACCAATTTTAATTCAAGAACGGAACAATATCATTTATTTTATCCATGCTCATTAACCCTTTAAAATTACGATTGAAATCAAAATTAATTTATTGAACATTACAAATAAATCAGAAGAAAACAATTAGCACCACCAATATAATACTATTAACATGGCCGTCTTTGAGGGCGTGCAAGGCGGTCCGCCGCACAGGACCTCAAAATTTTTAAAATTAATTTATAATTAAATGAAATCTCATAAAATAATTTTTAAATTTAATTGTAATTATATAAAACCTCTATTTGACCTATATTGAACCTCTAAAAACTTGACACGAGTCTGACTATTACCTATCATAAATCATAATATCAATGTAATATTGTCAATTCCTTTGATACATCTGTTCACATCTTGATCATTACGTTAAAATGAAATAAAAACAAAAATTCCTTAATTACAATAAGAATGGTAATCAAAATACAATTAAAACAGAAAAGAAAATAAATTAAAACAACTCTAAATTAATTAATTGTTTTAAAGCATGTCAAATCCACCAAGAGGATAAAAAAAAGAAAAATGACCAACCACTCATTGGGAGTGAAATCAAATGCAAAAGTATTGTTATCTAGTTCACCATCTTCAGTATTTTCTGGTCGCTGCTTAGTAATATTCACATGTGGACCAGACCCCAACCCTCCTACACCTGTACCACCTGGTTTTCTTTTACTCCTTTCAACTGGTCTTTTGTTGTTATCATCGTTACTACATTTTCCTAGTAGAAACACTAAATATAGCTTGGCTCTGTTTGAAAAGAGAAGGAAGAAAATAGATAATAATAAATTAGTATATATCGTATCAGTTTATAGCTGATAAATTTTAAGAAACGAAGGAGCATATACTTACATGGTAATTATGACTGATTTTTTAGAGGTACAGTTGGAGGTTGGCAGCATTGGCATGTGGGTGAGACAACCTACGGCCACAGCAAGAGTCATGGGGAAATATTATAAGTTATAAAACTTGATTCTTCTCTATTATTTATTTCTCTAAATATAGAAGCAGAAAAAAGCTTTTGCTTGCAGTCACCAAATTTAGTGGGTTTGATCTATATTTGTGGAGGTTTGTTTAAAGTTGGATATATAGAGAAAGAAGCATATGAAAAGTCACCAAATATTGATGAGAATTAAAACACGTACTTGCGTTTGAAATGTCAACTTTGAACACTTCTATTTATATCTATATATAAGTCAATAATCAACATATGTGTTTGACTGAGGATGAAATATTATTATTGACTAATTATAAATTTATTTAATCCCTGTGAAATATTATTATTATTATTATTGACTTATTATAAATTCATAAGTTGGGTGTAACAATGGTATGCGTTGAGATGTTGAAGAAGTATCGTATAAGGAGATTCAAGAATGCTTAATTCATTTTGCTAACAAGTTTTTCCTTTCAAATCAGATAAACCACTTTTATCCGTATAAAGTAAATAAATATTGTATACTATTCTGTTAATTGTTTCATAGGTATGGGTAGGTTGAAATGGGATATTCACTTATTCGTGATATTTGATCAATGTGATTATACATAAAAATCGACATATCCTTAACCAATGGTATTTTTGGTGGAGGCGGAGAAGGTGGTGGAGGCGGTGGAGTTGGAGGTTTGCTTACGCGAGCAACTTTGAAGACCTTATTTTGAGATTTCGGTGTCGGTGAATCGGGAAAAATTTCGTCAACATGTTCAAAATACAATTGACTCCTCATAGTAGAATTTTCACTTGGTGTAGGTTTGACCTTTTGTGGTGCTCCTTTTATTTTAACCGCTTGAGACGGTGGTTTCAAGTCGGTTGTCTCCTGTTGAATAATGAGAGAACAAGAGGAAGGTTGGATTGAATCTGTGTGTATGAATTACACATCGGAGCTCATTATATATAATAGGAGGCATAAATGTCATAGTAATTACATAATATTCTATAATAATTACATAATATTCTATTTCCTATTTACATGATATCCTAATTACTTACAGAATATTCTATTTACATAATATGGAATATTCTGATATCTAACACTCCCCCTCAAGCTGGAGCATATATGTCATATGCACCAAGCTTGTTACAAATATAATTAATTCGAGGACCTCTCAAAGGCTTAGTGAAAACATCAGCTAACTGATCATTTGAATTGACAAAACTAGTATTGGCATCTCTAGATAAAATATTCTCTCTGATGAAATGACAATAAATCTCAATGTGTTTGGTTATCTCATGGAACACTGGATTTGATGCAATATGCAGAGCTGTCTGATTTTCACAAATAAGTGTCATATGTGAAACATCCCCGAATCTCAGGTCGTGAAGCAATTTTTTAAGCCATATAAGCTCACAGGTTGTTGTTGCCATGGCTCGATATTCTGCTTCCGCACTTTACCTTACCACTACACTTTGTTTCTTACTCTTCCAGGAAATTAAGTTACCACCCAAGAAAACACAATAACCTGAGGTGGATCTCCTATCAGAAGGAGAACCTGCCCAATCTGCATCTGAGTATCCTACAACTCGAGTATGTCCCTTGTCTTCATAGAGTAAGCCTTTTCATGGAGATCCTTTAATATATTTCAAGATGCGTCACAGCTTCCCAATGCCCTTCACAAGGAGAGTTAAGAAATTGACTTACCACACTAACAGGAAATGAAATATCCGGGCGAGTAACAGTGGGGTAATTCAGTTTTCCAACTAATCTTCTATATTTTCCAGGATCGGAGAGTGGCTCCCCCTGAGTTGGCATAAGTTTAGCATTGAGATCCATCAGAGTGTTAACTGGCTTGGAATTTAACAGTTTTGTCTCCTCCAAAATATCCATAACATACTTCCTTTGTGAAATCACAATCCCTCGTTTGGATTGGGCAATCTCTATGCCCAAGAAATAACGAAGTCTACCGAGGTCTTTTGTCTGGAAATGATGACAAAGGTGTTATTTTACCTGTGTGATTCCATGATGATCATTACCTGTAATGACAATGTCATCCACATACACAATTAAGTAAATACACCTAACAATTGAGTGACGATAAAACACTGAATGATCAGCTTCACATCACGTCATACCAAACTCTTGAATAACAGTGCTAAATCTATTAAACCAAGCCCTAGGAGATTGCTTAAGTTCATACAAAGACTTATGAAGACGACAAACTAGTCCAGAAGACTCCCCCCTGAGCAACAAACCCAGGATGTTGCTCCATATAAACTTCCTCACACAAATCACCATGGAGGAATGCGTTCTTGATGTCAAGCTGGTAAAGGGGCCAGTGGCGAATAGCTGCAATAGAGAGAAATAATCGAACCGAGGCCATTTTAGCCACGGGAGAGAAGTTGTCACCATAATCTAGGCCAAACAGCTGTGTATAACCTTTAGCCACTAAACGTGCCTTGAGACGATCAACTTGTCCATTAGGCCCAACTTTGACTATGAAAATCCACCTGCAACCTACACCAGATTTCCCAAGAGGAAGAGGAACAAGGTCCCACGTGCCACTGTTCTGAAGAGCGCACATCTCATCAAGCATAGCTTGTTTCCAACCAGGGTGAGATAAAGCATCACCTACAGTCTTGGGAATAGACACAGAAGACAAAGAGGAAATACAAGCATAATGCAAAGAAGACAAGCGATGATAAGACAAATTAACATAATGAGGAGATGGATTACGAGTGGAACGTATACCTTTGCGAAGTACAATTGGGAGATCAGTCTCAGGGGAAAGGACCGGGGGGACGAAGGAGTTGGATCCGGAGGGGAGTCTATGGTGATTTCTGAATTAGTTGATGGTAGTGGAGGTGGCCGTGGTCGACGCTGATAAACCTGTAAAGGAGGTAATGGGGGTGGATTGGATAGCAAAGGAGACATAACTACGTTTGGTGGGGCAGTAGTGGGAGATGAAGAAAACATGGGTGATAGGGACTCAGACCCTGTAGACGTCCCAAAGTAAGGGACTGACTCAAAGAATGTGACATTAGCAGAGACGAAATATTGATGAAGAGACGAGGAGTAACATTTATATCCCTTTTTGGATCTTGTATATCCTAAGAACACATACTTATGAGAACGAGCAGAGAGTTTGTCTAGCCTAGGACTAACATTATGGACAAAACACGTAGACCCAAAGACTCTAGGTTGTAATGGGTGAAGAGACTGGTGAGGAAATAGAATAGAGCGAGGGATCTGATTGTTGAGGATAGATGATGGCATCCTATTTATGAGATAACAAGCCGTAGGGACAACATCACCCTAAACATGTTGAGGAACATTATTGTGAAGTAAGAGTGTCCTAGTGGTTTCAACTAGGTGTCTATTTTTACATTCAACGAATCCGTTTTGTTATGGTGTGTGAGCACAAGACGTTTGATGAAGCATACCGTTAGTAGCCATGAAAGTTTGAAACTGAGTAGATAAATATTCTCGAGCATTCTCACTGTGCAAAGTACTGATGGACATACCAAATTGATTTTTGATTTCATTATAAAATGTTTGAAAAATAGAAAATAACTTCGATTGATTTTCCATTAAAAATAACCAGGTACATCAAGAATAATCATCAATGAAGGTAACAAAATACTTAGACCCTAAAGTGGAAACAATGCGACTAGGACCCAAAATATCTGAATGAACTAGAGCAAATGGAGACTTAGAACGACAATTGACACGACTCGGAAAAGAACTACAAACATGTTTTCCTAATTGACAGGACTCACAAGACAACATAGATAACTTGGAATGGTTGGGCACCAACTTTTATAACTTTGCAAGACTTGGATGTCCTAACTGAGCATGAACCAGGAGGGGAGAATCCACCACAGAACCAACATGTGCAGATGGTTGAAGAAGATAAAGACCATTAGACTCACAGCCGGTGCCAATCATTTGTCTCGAACTCCGGTCCTGCAAGAAAAAAGAATCTTTGGTGAATGAGATAGTACAATCAAGAGATCGAGTCAAACGACTTAGAGACAATAAGTTAAATGGAGATTCGGGTACATAAAGAACATTAGTAATGGAGAGCGAGGGGAAAAGGTGGATAGTACCAATACCCTGAGATTGAGTTTGGGAGTCATTTGATAATGTGACAAAGGGTAATAAACCAGAAGTAGACAATGAAGAAAAAAGAGATTTATTACCAGTAATGTGATCAGTGGCGCCTGAATCAAGGATCCATGGGCCAAGAGATGTGGAGTGAGAAAGACCAGCAAAAGAATTACCCATGTGCGCAACAGAGGCAGTGGAACTAGCGGCCTGACGCTCCTCATACCACTTGATAAAGTCGTTGAAGATAGCAGGAGAGGTGGAAGAATCAGTCGGAGTAGCAGCCTGTGGAAGTGGAGCGGTCTGGGCAATGTGGTCAGTCCGAGGAGAGGTACGTCCATGTAAACCATAACACCAATCAATAGTGTGGCCAAGCTTATGACAATGATCACACCTAGTACGAGGTTTTCCTGTCTTTTGAAAGTGGCCACGATCAGCACCCGAAGCATGATTACCTCCTTGAGAAACCAAAGCAGATGAATTAACTGGTGTGGATGGGACTCCATCGTTAGATGATGGTTTTGCTGGGACACGCAACAAAGTAGACCATGCAGTATCCAGAGTAGGGATTGTAGGAGACCCCAATATATGATCTCGAACAGACGAATACTCTAGAGGTAGGCCATATAGAGCTAGAAGCATCAAGAAGGATCAAAGTTATTCAAGTTCCTTAGCAGTGGTAGCAGCTAGGGGTAATAATTCATTGAAATCATGACGAAGACCTTGGACACGGGCCAAGTATTCAGCCATAGAACCATCCAGGTGACGAGGGAAAATAATATTCTGCAAATTTTGACACACTCCATATAAGTGTTGTGTATTATTGGTATAAAGGATCTTAGCTTGTGCCCAAACAGATTCGCAAGTCTCATGAGAACAAAAGATCTGTTTTAAGGATGGACTAA